GCTATTTCCAGGTTGCTGTTATACAAAAACTCCTCCGCGTCTTGTGGAGACTGAGTCTGCTTCCTGGCGCCCAACGTGATTCTGGTGACGCAGTTCTAGATGAGTGGGGCTATGGGATGTGGTTGGCAGTTTTTACAAAGTCAGTGCCGTTTCTGCTCTTGCCTGCACAGGCACGCGCTGAGAGCCCCAAAGCCAGAAGGTGGGCTAGTCTCCTGGGTTCTAGGGCACTCTTTCTGCTGGGAACTGTGAAGAGTGTGAAATTTCGAGCTGCTAAAGGCCCAGTTAGTTGCCTCTACCACTCCCTGCTGATCCCTGCATTTGACTAAGCAACTAAAGTTGCCCTGCCCAAAGCAGTGCAGGAAAGGTGGGGGCTGGGTAAGCAGTCCTTTGGTCCTTGCAGCCTCTTTCCTAGATTTCAATTTCCTGGGGGCTGCCGCAACTCTGTAATCTGACACTACTCCTCCATTCAGGGACCAGTTTAAGTCTCTGGAAGGGGGAGGTAGGGAAGCTGTGTGAGGGTGGGGGTGGGTTCCTGGCTATGAAGTTGTTCCTTGCCTTCTGCCAAGAGTCCAGCCGCAGTTCCCAGCCAAGGCTTCTGCCTCAGACGCTGGGCACCGCTGTGCTCTCTGCTGAAGTCTCGGCAGGACTGTGGGGTGTAGGGAGTGAGCCCGTCGCCTTGCTGCCGCAACAATCTCCAGTCCGCTTCCTGGGGCCCTGCGTCTCCACAGCTGCGGATGCAGGCTGTGTCTCTGTACGCCTCCCTTCCCTCTTCCCCCAACTCGCCCTGTTTGCCCACCTTCAGGTAATCTTGCGAGTTCTTAGCTGTTCTGCGATGAGCAGAGGTTCCTTTGATGAGTTATATCTGTTCAATTTGTGGTAATTTCCAGGGGAGAACTCAGGGAGCCTTCCTCACTGCCACCATTTCTATCCAAAAACTCACCAGTGTTTTTCAAACTGGTGGATCATAACCCAAAAATGGATGAATGGGTCCTAATCATTTTAAAAATTAAATAGACTTGAGGTTGCACTGCACATATGAAAGGTTAGTACTGTTTTATGAAAACTTGGAAGTTCACACATATACACACCTGGATTATAATGTAAAATGTTTCTTATTGTGAATTGAGTTTTAAAAGAAGCTTGACAGCTACTATCTTAGACAAACTCCTAATGTTGGAGTGGGGTCAGGTTTTGTTTAAGTACATGGATTATGCAGGGGAAGAATAGATACTTGAAATCAGGGAATGATTTGGGAAGGAAAACAGATGCTGGGGAAATAGCAATTTCCACTGCAACCTGCCTGACACTTTAGTTATTACTTAATCGATACTGGATTTTAATATAGTCATAACAAAACAGTTTAGTTTTTCTAACGTTTTCTAAGTTTCAAAGTACATCTCCCTTCTGAAAAAGTACTTCATTTCTTCCATCCGATAAGTATCCATGAGGGAATTTATACATTTTATCATTTGGTTGATGGAAAGTATTACGGTAAAAGATTCATTAAAAAAAGCTTGGCTTCTAAGAAAAAACCATTTATATTTCAAATAACTGAACATATTTTATTATTACCCTAAGCTTTATTTAGGTTTAAATTTTGATGCTATTTGACAAGAACTTTAGGGTTCATTCTGAAATTCAACCCCTTTTCATTAAATAAATGAAGAAACTAAGGCCTAGAGAGGATTAACTTATCTAAAGCAGTTAATTAGTTGTACAACACAAGTCTCTTGCCACCTGCTTCAGAATTCTTTCCATTATACCAATTAACAGTGCAGTTATACTAACTTTAAAAGGTGAACTAACAAACATGCTTAAGTTTCAGAGGCACCTCAATTTACATAGCTGATAGATTCAAGAGTTGTAGGTGAGCTGTATTTTCAGGAGTAAAATCACATTTTTAAGGCAACAGAGGAAAATATTAAAGAAATGTTAAAGTTTTGAAAGGCAAGTTACTGCCTTACATGTTTAAGTGAGGCTAAGGATTTTAAAGCTAATTTTCATGTTATAACACGAACTGTATTACACATTAATACTTGACCCTTTAAACTAGGGAATGGATTCACTGAGCAATTTTTGTATGATTAGAAATTTGCCAAGTTCTATGAATGATTCAAAAGAAGTCTTAGCTACAAGAACTTATAATTTGTGTCCTTAGTATGTATGGTAATAGGGCAAGAATGACATAAGAAACAATACTCATTAAGCAATTAAAGCAATTTCAATTACTTGAAATATAGGGATTAAAACTGAAAAAGTCCTTTTGGGTTGGACACATTAGTGAAAATTTACTGTTCCTTGCACAGGCAGGGAGGGTAGCCGTCATTTGAGGGTGCCATGAGAATATCTACAGGCCCTACCATCTTTTCCATTAGTAAGTAGAATGCCACCCATTTCTTCCCTTAAGAGTTGTTTTCTCTTTTGTGTGAAAGGGTTTGTCCCAGGCTTCCCTCTAGCTCCACAGAGTCTCTAGTATTTGGAGCCTTAGGGAACACTGGCAGAAGGGTAACCAAAGGGCTTTGAAAGTACAAAAAAAAGGGAGAGTGACAGTGCTCAAGACTTTGTTTGCTTTGGTTTTATTTAAGTGCTGATTCTAAAGGGCAGGTAGGGTTTAAACATAAAGAAAAAGAATACTCTCTTTTGGGATTCAGTTATGGTAACTACAGGTTAGGGTAGTAAGTTGCTGTCTGGCACTAGACTTGCCTAACATCCAGCAGGTACCAGGCCCATCTTCAGGGACTAAAAGTCCACTCACTAACTGTGCAAGGTAATCATAGGTTAGTTCTGATAGTTAACAGAACAGGTGAGAAGTTGGCATCAAGAACCAAGTTGGGTATGGTCAGCATTAAAGAAGCAGATAGCAGGGTCCCAGTCAACAGACTTGGGTTTAAATGCTGGAATTTAGATTTTTAGAGGTTAGGAGAGAAAATTGGTAAGCACAATAGGTCTTATACGTCAAGAGGCTGAAATCTGGGAGAGATGACCTAATCAAGGACTCAGGAACAGCAATCACATAAGGGGTATAGTTATCAGACATGAGGTATCTATCAGTCAAACGTAAACATTATGACATTATACATGTTTCTCGAACTGGGTTAGATTTAATTCTGGGATTAATGACAAAAAGTATTGCATGTATGAGTTATGATGATGACTCTTTTGGGGAATTTTGATAGCAATTCAATTCCTATTTTGATGTATTTTTATATTAAAGTAAGCATATTTTGAAGTAGACAGCAAGTTGTGGTTGAATTTAAAGAAAAAAAAAACCACAGAATTTCAAAGAAATGTCCAGATTTTGTAAAAAGTTTTAGCTATACTTCCAAGTCACTATTTGATGCTTAGAAAAATTTGAAAGGCAGTAACTGCAAAAAGTACTGTTTGGAAAAGACCAATTTTAAACTAAGTTCTGCTCCTTATTGTGTGACCCTGGGCAAATTAAAAAATTACATATCTGTCAGGATTGTTCTAAAGTTTATAGATAACATACAGGGATCTAGTAAGGTATCTGTCAGATAAATAGGTGTTTAATGTGACAAAGGGGAAAAAACCTGGGCTAAAAATGCTTAATCTTGCTGCCTCAGGTTAAGTCAGGTCCTATCGCCTGGAGGGCTGTTAAGTGTCCACAGGGAAAACTCAAGGCTAGAACTATGAGTGTGGACTGAAGTTTAACTGGGACATAGATGGATATGGCAGGGAACTAATATATGTTACATATCTATTCCTGATCACCCACTGTTAGTTTTTTATACATTCTCATTGAATCATAACCCTTTAAAGAAGGCATAATTAGAATCTTACAGATAACTGAGGTTCAGGCAGGCTCAACTGCCCAGTATTAAATCGCTAAGTTGAGCAGTGGAGCAGGTACCTGAACCTAGTGATTCTACTACATCCTACGAGGTACTCCTAAGCCCCTAAATGGGAGATAGGTCTGAATTGGTGGGATTAAATAATGGCTATCTGCAGTAGCTCTGGATTACAGGAGTAACACAAAACATTTAACACTGAGTTGAGCTGTGTTGTGTGATGTGCAGAGAGAAGCCTAGAGACAGGAACGTCAGAAAATATTCCTAATATTCTAAGAATAAATTGACAGAGGTTTCAAGTAAATCATCTTCAAGTACAGTAAAGCCTTATTAATTTAGACTAGTGTATGGAATTTGCAATACTGTATATAGAAACCGAGAAACAAAGCAAATATCTGGAAACGTTCTTCATACTTCTTCCCTTCTCCCGCTCTCCCCAATAATTCAGCCTGAATCAGAGCTGTGACGTTCTTTAGTGACTTCTGCCTAACTTGTAGGTAATAGAGGAACTGAGCCCGCCAAAATAAAGGGTAGCATTCTGTAAACATGCAGAACATACAAATATAAGCCACAACGCCCTATTCCACTTTTTGTTGCTCACCTTCACCAACATTTTTTCCTTTATTAAGCATCTACTTCAGTAAAGCCTTTTGCCATTAATGGAAATGGAGCGCTGGATAAGACACTATAAGAGGTAAGTCCACTAAGAATGGAAATCATGAGACTACCAAGCAGTTCACAGTTCAGAGAGACACAAAAATAAGGCCAAAATAGAAAGATATAGAGAATGAAAGTACCTATGATAAATAAGTCAAAATAATGAAAAGCAAACAGGAATTTGTCAGGAAGAAGGAGAGGAACAGTATGATGAGACCTGAACACATGACACAATGTGATAGATATGTTTAGGGAATGGCAAGCAATTCCACATGATTGGTGGGCTGCAGGGTAGGCATGGCTTGAAAGAGTGGTAGGAATCAGATCCTAAAGAGCATACGTTATGCTAAGGCCCTTGGGGCTTCATCATGTGGATAAACATTTCCCAGTTATGACCATGAAATCCTTTGAAATTAAAATGTGAAGAAATACCAATAATAATACGCTTAAATTTTTGATTCTTTAGTTTCCTTAACATCTAAGAAATATAAAAAAATTTGAATGATTTTATTTAACACCCCAAAATGCCAGAGATAAAGTAAAACATCTTTTATTTCCATCTTATATTTGGTTATCAAGAGACATGCAAAACCCTTCCATTTTAATGAGAACAGTGTTTTTGTGTCTTTTTATCACATATCCGCTTAATATTAGGTGTAATGTTGCTTAGTCGGATCCGCATATGAGGTGCAGCATCAAGTCTTTTCCTATATTTCGTTTTGGTTGCAGCATAATATGAAAATCCTGTTTCACACAGGTGCATTGTAGCAAAAGGAAGAAGTACACGAACCGCACGCATCGCAATGCTTGGGTACTCTTGAATTAGGCTACTCCAAAAATCATTTAGGGAAAGTTCACTGAAATTTTGTTTCACTTGAGAATCAGATGTTAAATCAATCAGACTCTCGTAGTCCCGTGCTACTAACGAGGCTGGTTTAACAGTTACTGTAAATGGATTTCTAACCCAAGCATTACTGTCATTTGTTACAGGAAAATATTTTAACAGAGTAGAGCGCAAACCCCTTAGGTGCTGCACAATAGCACTGCAAATATCTTGATCAACTGTAGAATTAATTTCAGTCAAAAAGTCACTAAGCGTAGGAAAACAATCAAAGTTTTCTTCTTCTACAGATGAGGCCCAAAACTCTAATTTTCTTAACAATGATGACATTTTATCAAATACTGTAAATACTGTCACATTTTTTCCTTGCATTGACAGATTAACCTCATTTAACTTAGTAAAAACATCTGCAAGATATGCAAGTCTTAGCAGCCAAGATGAATTTGTTAAACAATCAGATAGCCGAAAAGCAGAATCCATGAAAACCAATAGCTCACGACGAAGCTCAAAAAGTCTTACCAGAACTTTACCTCGGGAAAGCCACCTCACTTCTGTGTTTAGAAGAAGTGCTGTGTGCTGGGCACCCATTTCTTCACATAAAATTTTTAGTAGTCTGGATTGATGTGGTCGAGCTTTAATATAATTGATGATTTGTACTGCCTGATCTAGCACATTTTTCAGAGATGTAGGCATTATTTGAACTGCTAGTGCATGTCTATACAATAGGCAGTGACTACTGGTACTTTCGGGAGCCACATACTTTATCAAGGTGACAGCCTCAGCAATTTTCCCATCCATTGCCCTAGAAGCATCACTACAAACATCAACACATTTTTCCCATTCAATATCATGTTTCTGCATAAAATTGTTGATGCAGTTGAAAATTTCTTTACCAGTAGCATTACTTTGCAAAGATTCACATAAGAGTAGGTCTTCCTCAATAGACTTATTAAACCGATAGCGAACAAACACAAGCAGCACAGCAAGTCCTGAAACATCAGCTGATTCATCTAACTGTAGTGAAAACCCATCACAGATTTTCAGTCTACAAACAAGCTCTTCTTCAATATCAGCAGCTAGATCCTTAATTCGACGTGCAACAGTACTGTTTGATAGTTGCACTGCATCTATTTTTTTACTGTATTGTTCATCAAACATCCGCATCACGACATCTTTTGCACAAGGCTTGATAAGCAATTCTCCAATGGTATGAGCCTCGCCACTCAGGGCTATATGGTAACTTACATTGTATGATGCCTCTGTAGCACTTTCATTATCTGTATTGATAATTTTAGGTGTTGGGGGTTTATTATTTTCAGGTGAATCAAGATGTTGCTTGAAAAAACTTATGTCTTTGTCTTTATATGCAGCATGTTTAGTTTCCAAATGTCTTCGAAGTTTACTAGGGGCCAAAGAGCTATTTGATAAAATTTTCTTACATAACACACACTGAGCATGAGGTGCATCTCTATTTCCAAAGTAAGTAAATCCAAAAGACAAATAACTTTCATCATATTTTCTTCTTTTTGGTTTCTTACTAAATGTTGTTATTTTGTTGGAACTGGACATAAATTTAACCCTGGCGAGCTCACCTTCTGATTTTTTAGAAACTGAAGGCTGCAACTCTTCATCTTCACTTTGTAATATTCCAACTTTTTGATCATTTGATTCAGACACAATTTGATAACAAAAAGATTCTACTTCTTGTTTAAGACTTCCTTGTTTCAGCAATAGATCCATAGGCAATGTATTTGAGGTACAAAACATGGTTAGTTTAGAATAAACATTGAGTATCACAAATGTGTTGAAATTATAAGACAGGATACATAGGAGACGTGCAATCATCAAAGGGATGATATATACAAACACATCAGTTAATTTGTAAATGCTGCCTATGCATCAATGCGCAGATGGGACATCACACGTTCGTGTATCAGGTGATCTCTCATGCGACTTCCTGGTGCTCTCAGGTATGGCACACCTTTTCTTAAAGGTAGATTATCACATAAAAATAAAAGCTATAAAATGAGTTTAGTAGTCTTAAACTTATATTTTAAGATAAACTATTAAAAAAACTATCGTTAGAACTGACCTTTTTCTCAGAATACTATTCACTTATGAATATTAAAATTCTATAAAACACAATTTGGGAAGCAGAGGGCTAAGAAACAATGAAAAGTGGGTAAGTATATTTTTAAGGAAGGGACTTGGAAGAATATGTCCCATGGCAGGAGTCGGCAAACTTTTTCTGTAAAGGGCCATACGGTCTCTGTTGCAACTCAACTCTGTCGTTGTACCATGGCAGCAGCCATAGACAATACGTAAAAGAGTGGACACAGCTGTACTCCAATAAATTTCTATTTAGAAAAGCAGATAGCATAGGCCATAATTTGCCAACCCCTTCTCATGGTAACTTGCAATCTCTTAGCTTTCTGATGCCTATTGACATTAGAGACATTCATTGTTGATGCTATTATATATCTGAAGGCTCCTTTCAAGGCTAGCAAGTAATAAGCTATATTAATAACACACACACAGTTCAAAGTTTTGCAAGATACAGAATTCTGTTGTATCCTAAATACTGTGTGTTAACATTGAAAAATAAACTGTAGACCAAACAAAGTTAGCTACTATTTCTCTGGATTTAAGGTTATATAAATATTTATATCATCCAAATTAAGACTAATTCATTCACAGTAACGTATATTTACTGATTACTCTACATCCCATTATACCTTAGGGGAAACTTAACCAGGACCTAAAGGAAACATAAACTCTAATTTTAATAGGTTTATTCCTCATGTGATTTTTAAAAAGCATAAAGAAAAGGAAGGGTAATGCAAATTTAAGGACCTCTAGAGAATACTACCAGCTTTATAAGTTAAGGCAGACAAATTTAGTATCTGTCCAAATATAGCTACTTTTGATTGAAGCTTTATGATGTGGCTAGAGTAAGATTTGCATTCTCACATTAGACCCTGAATCAAAATGGTTTTCCTATCAATAGCTATACAAGATAAGATACCTGAAATGAGGAGTACTCCCTTCTGCAATCACTCTCCACCTTGGCAGCTTGAAATGCAGACTCTTCAAAAGAATAAAATTAAGGGATGGGTTGGAAGGGGAGTAGCCAATAGCCTAGAATGAGAAAAATTAAAATTAGACACTGCAAAAGCATCACTAACTATAAACCTCTAAGATGATCACCCATTATAATTTATTTTAGATCCAGGCAGTGCAAAGGATTCCTCACTGCAATGCATGTTTTGGACTGAAACAGAAGATGCCAGCCAGTAAAAATGCTAATATTTTCACCCTGTTTAATACCGTAGTTATTTCATTGTTTTGAGATACTCTCTCACCCATTGACTTCGTAGAAATACACTAAGAACTTTCAAACACTAAACCTAACTTTTAAAAGTACAGCCACACCACTTTACTGTCTCTAAAATTAAGCAGAGTGTAATCTAAAATGGAAGCAAGCTATGCATGCAAGTGTTACATGAAATACGCCTTTTTGCTAGAGCCATTTTTGTACCCTTCAATAACCAATCTCCAAGGTTATTATATTTACTGAGTGACCATTGTTTACAATGTGCCAGTAACTGCTAGATCCCAAATACAGATTGCCTCATTTAGTCCTCAAAGCAAACCTGAGAGAGTCAGGGACTATCAATAACTCCACTTTAGATATGAACAAAGAGACACAGAGAGGCTAAGTCACCTGCTAAGTTAACATGTTTTTTAAGTGAAGAACTAAGAACCACCCAGTCCAACCACAGGGCCCACGTGCCTAGCCATTACTTGTGTGTCCCCGCATACTTTTAATTTCTTAAGCATTAAAATATTTGGTACCAGGGTGGTGCAGGGAGAAATGGATTACAATGGGTTATAACTGCCAGAAAGGTTAAGGTCTCAAATTGGCAGCAGCAGAAAGCCTATTTCTCCATTATTGGGAGCAAAAGAGCAGTAGGTTCTCTTTTCTAAGTCCCGAATCGGATTTAGCAAAAAGAGAACTTCATGGAGCTAGACCTGAAAGATTAGAATCTCTCTCCTCTGCTGCCAGAGAACACAACGGAGCAGGAAGCTTGTTTTCAGGAAGGGGGGGCTCATCCCCCCTTCTTTAGAGGCGCTTCCCTCAATCTCTCGAGGACAGAGAGTCTGCACTCCCTAGGGAGTAAACTTTTATACCACTCCCTGAAAAGGTGAGGGGGCGACACCCTCATCTTTTGTCTCTTCCAGTTAAACTGACAGGTAGCGCAATCCATGCACCCCCCCACCCTGAGGCGGTTCCTGCTGTGAACAATACCCTCAGGGACAGGAGGGCTGGGTAGGGGTGCAGTCCCTTGCGAAAGCAGAGGCAGCAGGTGGGTAAGGTCACCGCTTCCAGCACCTAAATGCGTTCTGAAACGGTCACCTCGACGTGCGGCTCGGGCCAGCCACCCCTCAGCTAGTCCTTGTCACAGGTGCGCGATGCCCGCAGACCGACACATCTGGGGCTCGCTTCCTGTCAAGAGCCCAACCTCGCCTACACAACTCTTCTCTCGCGTCCCCAGGCGGTTGCCTCGGCTAACAGCCACAAGAACACGTCTCAGCACCCAACACTAACTTGCTACTTCATCTCCATCAGTGACAGAGCGAACGGTCTACGCTGCGGCTGGGCTGCAGAGCAGCGCCGCGATCCCCAGCTGAGCCTGCGGCCGCCATTTTAGACAGCTCAAGGCAGCGGCCATTTCAGAGCGCACCACTCAGCCGCCGTGGCGACTCTGGTCCTCACCTTCGCCGAGGCCTGAACAGGGTCAAGAGCCAGTCGTCGCGGACTGGAGTGAGGAGGGAGGCGGGGGGAACGAAAAGCAAAACAGAGAAAAGAAGGATTCGGGGACAGGGTGATGCTCTCAGCTCAGGGACATCGCCTATGCCACCTCCATAGCGATCCGATTCGCGGCTGGCGCGGTCGCTTGTCTGAAGATAAATTTAGCACCCTGGGGCACCCGAACTATAGTCTGCACGAGCGACTCCTCCGCGGCTCAATCAGCGCCAGGGCTGCTCCCCGCCACCAATCCGCGCTGAGCAGTGGGGGCGGGACCAAAGGAAAGGACCAAGCTCGGTTGAGGCGTGGTCCAGCCGCCGCTCTGGGTTCCAGCGAGCGGTGGGGCCGAGCTGGAGCCAGATGTGAAGGGATTGTTTTCAAACTTCCCTGTGCCGGAGTCAGAATGGAGATGCCTGGGTGCTACCGGATAGTTCGTGACCCCGTAAGGGCCGGACTGGACTCGAGAGATCTGCATGCTCCTCGGCTCTGGCGCTCTGCCCCGAGGCGGTGATTTGCGTGCATTCGCAGTGCCACGAAGGTGCGCGCGAGAGGCTCGGCTGCTGGTGAATCGTGACCTCTTTGTTCCGCCGACCGCTTCCTCTTTTCCATTCCTCCCCACTGGAATCGGGGCTGAAGACGCCCTGTCCCTTCCCCGCCCCTCCCAGACGCTGGCGTGTCAGGGTTCCCAGCCCTGGTGAGAGCTGAGCCTGATGCTCTTTTGCCTCAGGAGCTCTTGGGTGACCCCAAATGGGCCCGGGAAGCCGCCGTTTAGGAGTAGGTAGGGATAGCGGTCCCTGTGGTGTCCTCGGGAGAGATGAGCAAGCCCTTGCTCTGCCTCGTTACCGCTCACAAGTGGCACCCTCGCCGAAGGAACGCCCGCCCACTGTCCTGTCCTCTGTTTGCTTGCTGCAGCGTTCGGGCATTTTACCATAGTTTCTCGCCCTCCCCCCTTTAGAAAGACAATACAGCAACAGGCTGCGGGGGTTGTGTGTCTTTTCACTTTGTGTGAGATGCCTCGTGGAGACCTGGAGTCGATTTTTAAAAACTGGCACCTTGAAATATATATCCTTCTTGGAGGGAATTGTTAAAATACGGGTAGCATGAAACAGTAGGGCTCGTTATTTGCAACCTTTTAACTTTTCAAGCCTCGTAGAAATAGCTAAATGAAAATAGGATCATGTTTTCAGGCACTTCACGAATGACAGAAAGTCCCCAATTTGTGGTCAAAAGCAAGGGCAGCTTTTGTTTTGTTTTTTAAATATGTCGTGAATACATTTTGTAGCAGTTGGAAGAAACCTAACCCTTAATTGAACACAGTTTTCAGGAGGACTGCTGCATAGACGATTTCCTAGGACTGATAATAGAAACCAACATTTAGTCCCAGATGTGTTAAGGCCATCTCAGTATCTTTAGATCTTGCCCTATGGTAGGCAACCCGTATGTCTTCATTATTATTTTATTATTAATTTTTGGGAAGGGGCACAGTTTTACAAAGGAAAGATTTTCATTTTGTAATTGCAGAAGTTGTCTAGCTCCATAATAACCTTGGAATGAGATCCCATATTTTCATGTTTTATATTTCATAAAAACCTTTTACATATGTTTCCAATTTAATCTTCACACACCTTATTTACATCTTCACGAAATGGGAAAATCTAAAACATTCAACTGATAACAATTTCAATTAAAGTCAAGTATATGATTTAACCTAGGTCCTAAAATCTGAAATCTGATAGTTGAGGGGTTTGAAAGAAGAACTTTTTCTGTAATTGCTCAGTCAATAAATTATTATATAGAATGTTGGATGCTGAGACAGATGAGAAAACATACAGACAATGTAGAACTCAGAACAATAATGATAATGCTGTAGCTAGCATTTATTGAACATAAAATCTGGGCCGTGGGCTGTTCTACACACTTTTTAATGTACCAGTTCATTTACTCTCCTCTCACAAGCGACTGCTAGGCTCACAGTCCGTGCTGCAGTCTCTTCCTGCAAGTCAGGGGCACTAACCCGGGAGGGGCTCTCAGACCCCCAGGATCTACCTCGCACTGACAGGCCCCCGCGGTAGCCGTGGCAGGAACGAAGAACAGAGCACTCAAGATCTTAGATGCCTTTCAACATGCTCTTTACTCAAACATCAATCATCAACATACCAAACAGTAAAGCACACAGAGCAATACAATAATTGGGTAAAATAGAGTACGGAACCAGTCCCAGAGTCAATCAGAGTTCTGTTGAATCAAGGAAGGGTAGCTGATC